AGAAGTGGACAACCCCAGGAAACGGCGAGTAGTACACTTTAATCGACTGAAGCTGTGTGGCGAGCCACAACAGAGGGCCCAGCAACCTGATCAGCCTACTGGTCAGCCCTCCAGTTTGCCAGTGCGGAGACCTCATCTTCCCCCTCGCTATGTTCCGGATGAGACTGACCTCATGTATGCAGACGGTACTGCAGCTGACGGGAACGAGACATCAGCAAGAGCTGAGGAAGAGGACTCCACAGAGGCAGAAGTGCCAGCTCCAGAACCAGTAGCTGAAGTAGTGCCTCCCCCTGTTGTAGACAGACCAAGAAGAGAAGTTCATGCTCCTGCTTGGATGAGAGACTTTGTTTCTTAATTTTTGAATGAACTTTGATTAATTTTCTTACTGAGCTGCAATCAGAGTTGATTTTTGTTTATAGTGGCTGTACACCCAGTGATTTCTATTTTGCTTAAGAATCCAGTAGTTTTCCCTTTCCTTTGTTGCATGGCATGGGGACATGCCCTTTTCTAAGGGGGGGATAGTGTAGTAAAGTTAAAGAATTCGTGACACTTTGTACAATGAATCGTGACTTGATAATCTTAAGTGAACAATAGATCAATTACTAGCTTGATAGGAACCGGAAATATGATCCCTATTGTGTAAGCAAGCGTGCAAAAATGTGCAGCGTGTAAAGTAGATAGTTAGATGTGCCTTCCGATCGGAATAGCGTAAAAGCTACAAGCTACACCCTTTAAACTGATAGGATTTTGTGTAGGATGGAATGATTATTCAAACCTAGCCGCTCAGGATTTACGTAAGTAATGTAGGTGTAATAGTGTTTTAAGCTTTCAATCGAATTAGGGTGTTTACTAGAAAGGAAACCACATGCATTCCCTACGATATTTTCCCACGTATGATTTAGCTACCAATATGTATAAAAGTACCTTGATTTAGCAATAAACGATGAATATGAATGTGATCAGGACTTGAGTGTTTACAAGTCTCTTAGAATATTGATAGCCCGAAACCGGCCAAGTCTAGAGATACTCAAGCAGTCGACACTTATCTGTTGGCCACGAAATCAACTCCCGTTTACAACATTCATATACGAGGACCTCCAACGCCAACTAGATAATTTGGATGACGTGGACGAACGCTACCTTTTACCCTCACCTTCGCTATTTTCTGATTTACAAGATCACGATAGAAAAGAAACAAAAAGGAAAGTGAAGCGCGCGTCTTCAAAGCAACCTACAAAAGTACCAGATCCGGGTCGTCAGTTTGCGGAGCTACAAAGCAAGCTTCATGACCTCAATCTTTACGATCTAGGTCAAGACATTCTCCCTCCTACAGACCACAAACCAGGCAAGATTACACAGTCTCCAAGCACTCATCATCAGCTACCACAACCTTCAGCTTCTCCAGGGCGCGATATTCAACAGGAGATTCGTCTGGCGGAGCTACAAAAAGAGAAGCTCGCTTTAGAGCTACAAGTTTTACGTCTGCGCCACGCCCCCAGTTCTTCTTCCCATGGCGAACCTGGCGAGAAAACAAGTTCATCTGTGTCTGCTGGAGCAATTAGGAAGAAGCGTGCTGTCGACTGGCCACACGAGTTTGCCCCAGGTACTAGCAATAGTATCGATGCTGATAAGATTGATTTACCACAGTTCGTACCGGGTTTTTTAGCGATGATCAAAACTTATGATATTGCTAAGAAATGCGCCATGCTTGACTATCTCGAGTTGTTGATGCTCAAGGCCTCAAGTTACTCCTGGTCAAGTGTGCGTTCTTTTCATTCGCATATTGCAAAGCAGATCGAGTTATGGCGTCTGGAATGGACGAGCTCTAGCGAGATTCGGGACAAAGCAGTCACCTTTTTCAAGCATTCCGATCTTCGCTCTTCTCAGTACAGTTCCAACGCCACCCCGGTATCTTCTTCCATTCAGGCGTCTTCATATCAACAGCGTCCACCAGCAAAACCCGAAGCAGAAAAATCCTGTCGTCAATGGAACTACTACGGCTCGTGTTCTTGTGACAAATCAAACCAAGATGTCTTCAACGCCCGTCACAAATGTCGCGTCTGTACCAAGGAGCATCCAATGTTACACTGCCTGAAAAGGAGAAATCCTATTCTGCCTCCGCAAAATTCACTTTGACTACATGACATTGCACAACAATCCACTCAGGTTGTTTTGGACACGGACAGTTTTACGGCTGACGCTTTCTCGACTTCTCACTCGGACAGTTTGGCATCGGTTTCACCGATCATGAAACATATTTTAGCCTCAAACCATGACTTGCCTAACGCGTTTGGGGCAAAGGTTCCCGTGGATACGTCCCTCAATATCGCGGCTTGGGATTCCAGATTACAGGACTATCACGATGAAAACGTTGTGAAATTTTTACGCTACGGATGGCCGATAAATTACACCGCTGACAAGTTACCCGAATCATCGGCTTCTAATCATCCTTCAGCGATTTCTTTCTCGGAGCATGTTGATTTTTACATTGCTACCGAACTTGAGCATGGCGCTATTGCTGGTCCATTTAATCATAATCCCCTGCCACAGCCATTAATCTGTTCTCCCCTGCAGACTGTACCGAAGCGCGGTTCAACGAACAGACGCGTGGTCATGGATTTGAGTTTTCCTCCTTCTTGCTCGGTTAACAGCGGTATTCCTGACAACACGTATTTACACGAACATTACAAGCTACGACTTCCTAGCATCGACCAGCTTTGCGAATTCATTTTACAACACAGCAGGGGTTGTTTACTGTACAAGCTCGATCTTCAGCGAGCGTACCGCCAGTTACCTATTGACCCCAAGGATTATTTTTATCTTGGCTTCCGCCATAAGAACATGCTCTACTTTGATACTCGCTGTCCTTTCGGATTGAGGACATCCGCTATGATTTGCCAGAGAACAACTAAAGCGGTAGTTCATTGCTTTACTGAACTCGGTTTCTTCGCTGACGTTTATCTCGATGATTTTTACGGCGCCGACACCCCAGAGCGGGCTTCACGTGCCTTTCAGAGTTTACAGGATCTACTTCACGAACTCGGACTGCAGACTTCACCTCACAAAGATTGTCCACCTTCCACCAACATGGTTTGTCTTGGTGTGGAGGTTGATTCAGAACATTTTACGCTCTCAGTTACGGAAACTCGAGTCAAGGATCTGCTCTCTGAACTGTCTTCTTGGTCTTCCCGCGAATTTTACACCTTAAAGCAATTGCAGTCTCTTCTTGGAAAACTCTCTTTCGTGACCGCTTGTGTTAAACCGGGACGCATTTTCATGTCGCGTTTATTGAACAGTCTACGTGCTTTTCCATCAACACGCGTCCGACTTCCGGTTTCAGCGGACATGAAAGCTGACATAGCTTGGTGGCTGGCTTTCCTACCAATTTTCAATGGCACTTCACTCATCAAACCTCAACAGTGGGAATTCGACGATCTTCAGTTTACCACGGACGCATCATTGCACGCTGGCGGGGCGACCTGTCTTAACGAATGTTTCAGGTGCGAGTTTCCCGAGGACATTGTGCGCATTGTGCGATCATATCACCGCTTTAGAACTCTATACTATTGTCGTAGCTGTTAAGTTTTGGGCTCCCAAGCTTTCCCATCGCTTATTCCTTGTGTCATGCAACAACGAAGCCGCTGTTACCGTTGTCAATTCTGGTTCTTCGAAGGATCCTTTCATGCAACGTTGTTTACGGGAACTATGGTTCACAGCTGCAGTCCATGATTGCGAGTTGACTGCTCGTCACATTCCAGGCGTCCATAACGTTTTAGCTGATGCGCTAAGCCGTTGGCGCACAGACTCTGCTTACCGTGAACTATTTTACGAATCTGCCGCCCGCTTAGACAGACAGTACACTTTCCAAACCGTATCCAGTGATTATTTTCAATTTCAAGTTCAGTAATTCTCTCTCTCGTGTAGGGTTTGCCAGTTATCCATTGCTACCTAGGTATTAACTTCGTTTTAGGCTGTGCGCTCATATATATTTTCCTTTTTTTTTTCTCCTTGTCTTTTTTTTTAGGTAGCACACAAGGTCTCCAGTTTTTAGATATTTTTTCGCATAGGCTAATAAGGTTCGCTCATGCTGCGTCGACGCATAAAAATATGCAGTCACATTTTCGTATTTTTACACAGTTTTGTAGCGATCTCGGCGTGCGACCGTTGCCGGTCCAACCTGAAACTATTTTAAGATATATTTCTTTTCTTTCGGCTACGGGTCGGTCTTACGGGACTGTCCAGAACCATATCTCTACAATTAAGCATTATCATCGTTTGTTTGGTTTTCCCCCTGGGTGGGAAAATTTGTATTCTTTTCAGTTAGCCTTACGCGGCTGTAAGCGGTTTTTGGGGGCGGCTCCAGCGCGCAAACTAGCAATCACACCCATTCTACTTTCGCGTATGGTTTCTCTGTTCGACGCCACTCAGCCACTTCAGGCAGCCATGCGGGCCATTATTGTTTTCCCTCTATGCTAGTAAACTTTTTAAGATCGTCGAATCACATCTTCCTAATTCCCATTGTTATGCAGATGACACGCAACTGTACATCGCGTTTAGATCAGGAAATGATTTGGAGGAGACCGCTGCTATAACTGCCATGGAATCATGTATTGCTGATATCAGTAGATGGATGCATTTGGATAAGTTAAAACTGAATTCCGATAAGACAGAATGTCTTCTGATTGGAACACGACAACAACTTCAGAAAGTCAGTAACATTAGTACCTTATCGGTTGGGGACTCCCAAATTGCTCCATCTTCTGAAGTTCGAAACCTAGGAGCTTGGTTTGATTCTAAAATGAGTATGCTAAGTCATATCAACAAAACTTGCTCATCCGCTTTCAATTATCTTTATAACATGCGTAGAATTAGGAAATATTTAAGTCGTTCAGTCACCGAATCATTAGTTCATGCTTTTATCACCAGTAGAATAGATTATTGTAACAGTCTACTATATGGCCTCCCGAATTCACATATCATGAAACTCCAACGGATACAGAATGCCGTGCTCGGTTGGTCACGGAACACCTAGATTCTGCCATGTTACACCATTGCTTTTCCACCTTCATTGGCTTCCAATAAGTTACCGTATAAAGTTTAAGATTCTACTTTTGACATTTAAGTGCTTATATGGTCAAGCTCCTAATTATCTAATTGATTTCATTACTACCAAAAAGCAATCCAAGTACTCTCTAAGGTCAAATGAGTCTATATTCCTCGAGTTACCATGCATTAAGACCCATCCAACTCTTGGCGATCGTGCATTCCAGTCAGCTGCACCTTATCTCTGGAATGCATTACCTTCGGAAATTCGCAACATGAAGACATTGGACACTTTTAAGACTGCTGTTAAAACTCATTTTTTTAATTTAGCTTTTAAATAGATTTAATTGTTGGCTTTTATAATAGTTTTTTTTTTTTTTTTTTTAATTATTATCATTATTTATTTATTTATTTATTTTTATTTATAGTTTTTAATACTTTTTATTGTAGTTTTTAATAGTTGCTCATGCTTTAGTCACCTTTAACATAAATTTAATATAACAATATTGTAAAGCGCAACCGAATATATTCATATAGAGGTTTGTGCTATATAAATGTAAATTATTATTATTATAGTCGCATTCTTTTCTTTTTTACGAAAGTCTAATTTGGTTGTTCCATCGGCGCGTGTTAATTCCCCTAAAGTCCCACGGCGTTCGGATTTTCACATGTCACAGCACGGGGCTTTTCTCAACATTCACGCGACTAAGACCATTCAGTTTTTTCAGCGGGCCTTATGCGTTCCACTCCCTAGTATCCCAGGTTCTCCGCTTTGTCCCGTTGCCGCTCTTCAACATCATCTTAGTCTCAACGCAGTTCGTCCATCCGATCCACTTTTTTCCGTTTTGTCAAGTGCCGATCACATTACGCGCCCTCTTACTTTTCGTCATTTTTCCAGTTTTTTAGCCCGGGTGGTTGCAGCGTTAGGTTTAGATCCACGAGCTTATTCGCCCCATAGTTTTCGGCGAGGCGGTGCCACGTTCGCTTTTGAATGCAATGTTCCCGCAGAACATATTAAGTTTCAGGGCGATTGGAGCAGTGACGCTTATTTAGTTTATTTAGAGATGTCCTCAGCCCAGAAACGCCGAGCGGTTAATTCTATGGCCGCTAAAATTAATCAATTGTCTTCAGCGTAATGTTAGTTTTAGTCCAATTATTTCGTCTTTCTTTCACTATATATGTCACACGATTTTGTATTTTTCCTATCATCTTTCCTTTAACCACAGACCACCTTCTCGTTTGGGTTTGGGTGTTGGAGTTGTATTGTCCTTTAGTTCTTGCATCTCAGTTTCGTTTCATTGACAATAAACTCCTTGTGTCCAAACTCGTGGTCTGTGGTTAAATGTAAACAATTGTGTCAATCGTCACCCTGTGAGGATGGTTAATTGTTAAGTGTTATTACGTCATAGCTATTATATAAGCATTGTACATTACGAATCAGTCAGTCATAATCTCTTGTAACGCGGTCAAGCTTAATTTCGTTATCCTATCCCTCCCACCCTTAAGGTGTTGGAGTTGTATTGTCCTTTAGTTCTTGCATCTCAGTTTCGTTTCATTGACAATAAACTCCTTTTGTCCAAACTCGTGGTCTGTGGTTAAATGTAAACAATTCAGTATTTTTTTTTTTTGAAAATTAAAACAAATTGACCTAGTTTTAAAAACGAATTAACCGAAGGCTCAATTTAACCTGCAACGTGTCCTTCAAGAAACTAGAGATAATAATCCTCCTTATACAGAAGATTACCACAAGCAACTCAAGTGAAGCATGCACGATTTAAAAAATAATTTTAACTTCTCTACTTGAACCAGAGCAAAAATAGGCTGAGATTTTACTCCTTTTGTTCGAAAAAGGAAAAGCATTAACTAAAGTTTTATACCTTGTAAAAAGGCCTAATGGTAATCCATTTTTCATATAGCTGGGTATTTTGTACTTTGTTTTGTACTCCACATCGTTTGTGTGCTATCCAGCAGGTTCTTATGAGAACAAATAATGTTCTCAGGTTTTCTAAAAGCTAGACGGTAACAGTGGTCCTTTTCTCTTTGAACATCACCATTACTAAATAGCTTTTGCTGTTCACCTGAAAAGTGAACTGTCATTATAACAATAAAAAATGAGAAGAATCGTAATTACCACAAGCTCGTTTCGGCTGGGTCCCTCCCTCTTCAAATTTGAAGGTCTGATGAGAAATGTCATGAAGATCCCGAAGCTGCCTGAGTTTCTTGGGAGAATTCTCATACAGGTAATACAGGTGGAGTAAGACTTCATCTATATTGTCAAAGCCGGTACCATGTGGTGCACATTTAATGCAAAGCTTTAGGCGATGTCCAACACACTGACGTAGGTTTCTCAGGGTTGACGGCCATTATGAATTCTGATGACACCACCTTTCTCTCCCCGAATGATAGAAGTGAAACCAATTTCTTTTACAGACTCTTCGTGGCCAGAAATCGCATATATTTGAGCCCGTGCAGCAGCATACAGCTTTTTCATGATAGCTGAGAAACTAATATGGCAGCCAAACATGCTTTTTCCAACGTGAAGTATTAACAGCTTATTCTCTGTCATCGGGAATTTTGTACGACACAGCCAGAAAAAAATTAAAAGAGGAAAACTTCACAATGTAGAAAGGATAATGGAGAGGCAAAAGACAAAATATGTAAGATTTTCAATGTGGTTGACTATTAAAGTGTGACGATCTCTGACAGTGATTTGTTTGATATCCGTCTGAAGGAAGAAATCATTTGCTTTTGATTGTGTGAATTTTGTTGCTCTCACATTAATTGATCTCTGGGGCTCAGGAAATGTATTTTAAAACAATGGGTCATGCATAACAGGACCACAAATACTAAATCAAATGGAGAGGCTTTTCCCGGAGACTCTTCGTGGGAGCCATCGGAAAACCTACATGAGGACTTAATTAGGTTAGATTATGTGTTTAAATTTGTGTTGGTTAGTTATACGCAATTTGCAACAGCAGCATTTGACTTTGTCTGAATTCCTTTTATAATAATAATAATGATAATAATAATAATAATAATAATGGTTTATTAACAGGTCCACTGGGTGGCTCTTCCCTGTTAAATTACATCAATTACAGTTACAAAATAAATCAAATTAAGTTATTTACAAATTATGCATTGTACAATTAAAAGTAGAACCAGGATTAACAGAATCCAATTACAGTAAAACTAACTAGTCACTCTGTACTCTGTTAAAAAAATCCTTGAAAGTCTTAAAAAGGTTCTGTAATCTTTACAGTTTCTAATAGTTTCTGGTAGATTATTAGCTTCGACACATTATCTTCGAAAGTGCCGTTTTCGGCCAGGACCACTTATCTTATTGAATTGCTCGACTGCAGTTCCTTGGGCCATTCCTGTTTTATTATTTTAAGGTAATCAGTCTCAGTGTCATGCAAAGTTTTAAAGCATGATTTCAGGAGGTTCAAATCTCTTCTCTCATTGATTGGAAGCCATCCGATTTTAAGTACATCCTGAAAGTTCTTAACATAGTGACTGAGTGCAAAAATTGAACCCGTTGCAAAGGGCGAAGTAAGAATTGTGGTAGAGAGTAAAAAACCAGATCGGTATAATCTAGTTTTGACAAAATCAATGTAAATACTTGTCTCGAAAATGATAGTTCCGAACAGACCAGAACTGGTGATGTTGACCCGACCAACAGAAATTTCAGTCTGCGATGCTTGATAATATTCTAGGGTTGTTTGAGAACTTTTTTTGTCAAGTGCATGATAAAATCAAGGGGAACTCAGATGGTTGTAAAACCTTGTAACCTGACGCCACTATGAAAAACATTACGTATGCACGTGCAGCCACTTTGTTATTGCATGACATTTTCTTCTAGGAAAACTCTTCTGCTCATATATGGGAAAACAAATGATGCTAAAATCTTTTTATTCATTACAACAACTAATATATAGATTTAGCCAGGGCTAAAAGCGAAGCTCCCATTAATAAATTTATATTTTAAATCAAGCAATAAACTTGTAATCCACAAATCAGTTAACTTAAGGGAACATTCATGTGACTTTTGAGGGAAAGGATAAGTTATTTTAGAGTGAAACATCTTACATCGAGTTGATAGCCTAAATATATGTACACCCAAAAAATGGCAAACATCTTCTATCATATTCAAGAGCCATAATGGCTCTTGATCACAGTAGATTAGGCCTCGAAAACAAATTCTTGGAAAACAACTCAGGCCACATGGTTTTGCGTTCGACAGGTTTACTTTACAAATCCTTGCCAACAAATCTGAGGGTGTGTAAACCAACCTTTTATACTTTTTATACATCACATCTGAGGTGAAACAGTACTTTTTATCATACAGACCTCGGACAGAATACGGCATTTCACAATTTTTCGATGTCCAGGACGATCAATCGTGGGCTTTTAGCGAAACTGTTCCAAAAATGTCCAAAATCACCCATACGGCCAGCCGGTTCTCATTTTTAGTGCGACCTGTCAGTGTGGTCGAGTGTTTGAATGAACTTTAATGGAGATACGCTTCAACATAATAACGAATTTATTATCATCACTTTTTGTTATTTAATGGTTCCAGTTACAACGATGTGTAAATGTTATAAGGCGTTTGATACGCGCGACATTTCTAAGTACTCCTGCAAGCGATGTTCATGAACGATGAAAACAAACACCACAGACAAGCGATTAAAATTGCAAGAGAGACCACTAACAATCAATAAAAGAAATATAATTCGGTAAAACATTTACAGAGACAACAATTTTCATTCACGAAGACAAGTATTAAAGTGTCTCTAAAAATCCTGAGTCTTTAAGCTTAAAGCTTAAGCTTAAGTTTATTTTGTTTTACTTTCAGCCGGGTTCCCGGTGTTTGTTTTGTTTTTCAAAGATGAACTCCTCGAAGCAACTCAGAGTTTTCTTTCTACAGCTAAATTTGTAACTAAATATTCTTCGGAACGTT